TTTCTCATTTTTTCTCATTTTCTGGACAACCTGGAGCCTTTTTTACAGTCGGACAATCTTTCTTCTCATATGGTTTAACTTTCTTAATTTCCGAACAATCAGGTTTCTTGATCTCTTCTTTCTTCTCTTTTTCTTCTTTCTCTTCTTTCTTCTCTTTTTTACATAAATCTTGCTCCTGCTGTTTATAAGAAATTTGCTCTTGCTCCATACGGTCCTGCCTTTTACAAAGATCCATTTTTGTTCTAGAAGTGTCATCATTTTTTTTCTGTTTACATCGATCTGCTTGAGGTTCCACCTTTCGCGTTTTACGGCAATCGCGGCCATTTTTATCGCAAGAACTTTTTCTTCTCTCACAAGAAACTACATTTTGCTTCTTAAATGTTCGTTTTCCCCTCTTCGAGCAATCTATCTCTTTTTCCTCATACATCTTATCTTCTTTCTGACACTTTCTCTCCGACATACAAGATCTCTCTCTTTTCTTACAAATATCATCTTCGTCTATTTTTTTTCTCAGAGATCTTTTCCTTTGCCGCGCGCAAAACTCTTGTATTTTTTTCCGAATGTCAGATTTTGACTTACAGTCTTTTGATGCAAAAAGAATTTTGTTGCTGAAAATTATGTCGGATACCAAAATACTTTCGTTTGACACAAGAGTATTCTCCAAGCAATACGGATCCAATGTAGCTAACAAATACGATCGAATTTTAGCATGCACTTCTGTAAATATAGATTTGATCCTAAAGGATATTTGTTGAATCCAAACTTCAATAATATTTAACGCATCACTCGTCGTCATCTTGCTGTTGCTATTGGATGCAATTACTACTTCATGATTATTTTACCCTTAGAATTCATAAAATTTAATGGAAACGAAAATTCAATGTGACGATAAATTTCGCATAACAATTTTGATTTATTATTTAATAACATCGCTGGAATCATCCAATAATTGATCGATTTTTCCGCTTTTTCGCATATTTCTATATTTGGAATATTTCGAAATTTTCTCATCGATCTTTCTGACAGTTCTCTATCATAATTCGACAAAGATTTCGGCGGCACTTGATTATTTTCTCTTGCAACATTGCTAAATGAATTATTAATTATTTTCGTTCTCTCGATCGATTGATACATCTTCTTCGGGATTTTCGCTTGCAAAATCAAGTTTACATCGTTCTTGTGAAACAGAGGATACATCAAGTCAAGGAACCAATTGTTATGATCCATCTCATTCGAGATTCTCGCGTAAGGACGCATCCTGCTGCATTCCTGAAGAGAGATGATTTCAAAGTCAGTTGTCCTTCAGTAAGTCTATATATCTTCAGCGTCGATTAATTATATTTGTCGATTAATTAACTTTATTTCACTGTTTATATCATTACAATTCAAAAAAACCGGGAGCCGTATTTTTAAGATTTATCCGTCAATAATTAAACACTTTAATAGCTGTAAAGAGCTGTAATTTTAATGCATATTTAATGTTCAGTTATATTTTCCTTGAGACGAAAAAACTTTTTCAAAATACCGATTGCGATACGTATAAAAAGATATGTTAAAAAGTTTATTTATTATATAATAGAATCTTCACAAATATTGAAATTAAATAAGATACGAAAAATAAATAATTATTTCAATATCTTTATAGAAATATTTCTTTATGAAATCTCATGTGGTATTAAATTTCTGTCAAAGAGAGAATTTTTTATTAGTATTATTTATGTTCAAGTGACATTGTTGCTCATGCAATTATGATTTCAAGATATTAAAGACATCTCTTTATATTTTATATCTGATAAAATTGGTATAACAATGTATTTTGGAGAGAAGAATACAATTATATCATATGCTGTTTTCATACTAATACAATTTGTAATTTTGATTATACATATTGATTTTTTTAAAGAAATATCGATTAATTCAATCTAAGTAAATGCTACTTTTTAAAAAATCTTACAATTTTTGGAAAATTTTGAAATTAATGTGGAATCGGGATCAAAAATATATTTTTGTTTTGATAAAATATAAAATTATTTTTATTATATATAATATTCTGAATTTTTTCATAAGCCTTCTGTAATCGAATTTTACCTACTTTTTTCTTAATAAATATATTAATTCATTGAAACTTTGTAGGAACATATTTCTCTGAAATATGTTTGCTTATTTTGGTAGGTAATTTTTCTGTATAGGAAATTTTTTATTTTAAAAATTGAAATATTTAAGAATATGTATAAAGACATGCGTTTTGTCTCGTTACATTATTTCTTTCATTTAATTCAGATAATAATTAATGATTTTCGAGTTTCTAAGTGTCATTCATATTCTCACTTTACCTTACTTTTGGAAATATCGAAAATATTAGACAATACGATATATGAATGCAAACATACAGATTTTGCAATCTTTACTGTTTCCTACATTATTTTCTAAGTAAAGTGGCAATTTATTTAGCAAATTAATATCACGATAATTATTGAAATTATCGTCACTTCTTGAAATGAAGACCGTAATATTGAAAACAGGATAAATATTTTCACCGAAAAGATTTATATTCTTTAAAGGCTATTCTTACTATGATATATTTAAGATTTAAATCAATTTAAATTAAATAAATTTTAGAATTAATCAATAATAAAAATTTAAACATTATTCTGCGCGTGCGTACAAAATATACATATTTTATTACGATTTCAAATTTTTTTAGAATGTAAAAAATAATGTATAAATTAATCAACAGTGTATACATTAATATAATACTAATTATTACTGTCGAATTTTTAGCATATTCTAGCATTTTTATGAAATATTTTTGCAACGAAAAGAAAGAAAAGATATGTATGTATATCTTTTCAAATAATTATATTTTTGAAGTTATTTTGAAATAGATATATTAGAGTTATGTATTTCTTACCTTAGGTATTATTTTCTCGGAAGAATTGTTTAATGTTGAAACATTTTCAGCTATCGGTAAGTGATACAGAGCTTCCACAAGTTTTTTTACTTGATTCTTTAAGAAAACATATATAAACCGTTAATTTATATTATTTCAATATTACATTATATATATTTACTGTATCATTGCATATTTAAATATATGCAACTGTGTAATAAAAAATACGATACTTTTTTAATCAAAATTGTTTTCATTTGTAATTACGTTGTTATAAATTATACAAAATGTTTTCAAGTAAATTGTGTAAATAAGCAACTTACGGCATGCTTAACTGATTGATTATCAAAAGAATTGTACATTCCATTATAATTCAGCAAAGATTTATTGACTGCCGCCACATCATATAACGAAAGAGCATTCAGTTTTGTGTTATTTTTTAACAGTTTTGATAGAATTTGACTGATTTCTCCGGCACCAATCAGAGCAATCTATGGCAACATTAATAATTATGGCAATTCAATTATATAGGAGATTATATATCAAAGAGAAAATAATACTAAATGAAAGATATAATCTATGTAATAATTCAATTATAGATGTGTACAAAAAAGCGTAAAGTAAAACTATTATAATAAAAATCTTTTTCAGCACATAAAATAATAATATAAATTGTAAATACTTTGAAATTTTTTTCATCAATGTGATTCTGGCATGACAGGGATTTCACAATCGATTTTGCGGCTCGGAAAAACATTGTTGAATAATATTAGATTAACTGAAAATTTTTAACGCCTTTATCGGGCGTCTGATGTGTCAAAATTAATTGAATACACGGCGCTTGTTATGAAACAAACATCGATTCTTTTAGCTTCAACTGTTCGAATATGTAGAGCGAAATCTAAGGTACCAGGCGATTTTATACTCCAAAGCTTTATACAAATGTAAAAACAGATGTATTTAATTTTTAAAAAATATTAGCATTTCAAGGGAATTGAAAAAATAATATTATCTAATAAAAATTATAGTATATGTATAATATATTTGCAATAGATATGTATAAAAACCACTATTTTAAGATTGAAATTTTTATAATTATTATTAAAAATTAATTATTTAATTAAATTTTATATGAAACTTTAATAAATGAAATATATTGCATATTTTTTCTTTGTTATAAGTTTATTCTATTAAACTTATTCAGTTTATTATTAAATATATTATTAAGTTTATTTTTATTATTATTATTTTATTAATTATGTCTTAAATTTATTCAAAATTTAATAAAATACAGAGATACATCTTGTCGTTGCCAGCAGTATCAAATTCAGTCATTATTGTTATCGACTATTGCTCTACTTACCTATTGAAGTATTGATAATATTGATAAATTTTATATATTATCGAGATACTATTTAAAATATTTTATGAGAATTAATGTGATTAATAATAAACTAATCATATATATAATTAATCATATGTAGATATATGTTGATTTCTGCATTGCCGATAATAAAATTGCGATTAAATGATTGTGTTTATTATTTTCGTGTACTATGAAAATCTGTTCATTTTATAATAAGACAGTAACTGATAGTTTGTAATGCTTTTGTGTAATTCTATTTAAATCATACCTATTAAAATAAACGTGTAAATATCGATATAAGCTAAATGTCAATGCTTTCAAATCTCATATCCGTTCACCAAACTCACTTGATAATCGCCAAAATTTACCTATGGTTGATTACTTTAATAGTAATCTCGTCGGTGATTTAAAATATTCTATATATTATTGAAAAATTTTATCTATATTTTATGTTATTGAATTTATTATATTTTACATACAGTGGACTAAAATACAATTTACTTTCTTCACAAGTACATTTTTATCAATAGTTGATAACGAAAACTAAATCAATAATATGATGAGAGCCCTAAATTAGATTGAAATAATAGTGGACGATTAAAAACTAAACAGGCCTGTTAAAGAGAGATAGTAGAGGATAGTTTTATTAATTCTTATATATAATTTCGTAAAACTTGACACAAATTAGAGTTTATTTAATTTTATTCAAATACACATATATTTCATAAATGATATATAAAGCCAGGGAGTCAGGGTGTTTTAATTCCTATATTATTACATGTATATTTATTAAATCCAAAAAATGTTTGCAAACGAGAAAAATATACGTCATTATGTATTTCCTGATTAGTAGCCTTCGTCCGACCATGTAATGTCGTAGTCAGGATATTTTTTCTTCAGTAACTCAACCGACACTTGATGATCAGCTTTGCCAAATCCCTGCAAAAAATTAATAATTAATTAACATAGATATATCTAATCAAAATTAATATAAAAAAATTACTATATTATTCAATCTTCTCACACAAAATTTAAACAATTTTAATTTTATTTATATTCAATAAAGATATTTGCCTAATATAATAAACCGTGTTTATGTTGTTTATGTGTACACACGTAGTGTAGCAATGATTATTACAAAGAATAGACTTACATTAGTTTCAGTTTTAAAATTACATGAAGAATGCTTGTTTATTTATAGAGATAGTTGCAGAAATGCGCAAAAAAAAATTAAAAAAGTAGTAAACTTTTGTATAAACTTGGATAATAAAGCGTACATCATTTCAAAGAAAACAAAATGCAAATAATAGTAAAAAGATTCAGAAGTAAATAAAACTCTAAAAATAAAAAATAATGCATAAAATAATGAAAGCGAAATATATCAGTAAATCTATATTTATATAATATTATAATTATATGAACTTATATTAATATTATAAATATATTAATTAAAATATTAATTTATGATGTTATTAAGAATTCTTCTATTTTTATAAGATCAGGAATATTTTTTAATCCAAACTGAAATACACATTTATTGTTCATAGCTATAAATAATAATATAGAAAACGAAGCAGGATTTCAGGATTAAAATTGCAGTATTAAAATTGCTTTCTCTCGGACGTCACTAAAAGAGAGCCGGCCTTCTTCACAAACTTATAATATTCTCTCACGCTTTTATATACCTTCAGCTTTTATGCACTCAAATCTCTTTTCTGCCTTCTCTTCTTCCTCGTTAAGGTCTAGTTTTAAAAATATTTCTCTATCAATCTTGCGTGCCCTTCATAATACAAATTATTCACTTTCCCGAAAGAAAAACGAATTCCGGTTTAAAATCTCGGATAAATGATTTTAAATGCTTCTACTGTTTTATAAAAAATACATTGACTCGTTGTTCCTTATAACACTGTCCATATAATAGTTAAAATATTTCTTTTAAAATAATACATGAATTTCAACTTCGAGTTTCTTTTCTACAAATAATTTTCGCTTTACATTTAGAAATAGCTTATTTACAATTGAGATTGTTAAAAAAATTATTAACATAAAATAGTATAATCGTCTACTCGTCTTACTTTCATAAGCTGCAATTTAATAACAAAAATTATTTATACAAATTTTTAATAAGCTCAACACATACATATATATTTGTGTTATGTTATATTATATTTAAAAAAATTGCAAAACTTAAGAACATTTATTAAAAATCGATTAAAGAAATTCCATTTTCAGATACAATAATTGTTAATTACATAACATCTATTCTTTCGTCAAATAAATAAAAACCAAATGCTGAAATAAAATATTAAATATCCATCTAAGATTTAATCACTATTAATATTACATTAATGTTAAAAAATAAAAAATTAGTATTAAAAAATAAGAAATAAAAAATATAAAAATTTTGTTGTTACGTAAAAAATTTGCCTCAAGCAAAATTTATTCCAAACGAAAGCGTAAGAAAATTTCTAAGTAAAAGAATAATGCTAGAAAGAAAAAATGTTACGTTTAATACAGCGTAAAGTTGAATAACATATATACAGGTAACAATATAAAAACTTATAGATGTTTTTGTGTGCTCATAATAATTAATTTATATTACTTGCGAGATACTATCGTAAATGAAGCAATAAAATTCAACAACGTTACGGAAGACGACGAACATTTCGGAGTTTACGTAAATGAAATTGCAAGTTTACACTTGAAGGTCGATCAGATCGATCAGCTTCGACGTTTATGGCACTTATATGCTTTGTGAAAAATTTCGCGGCGAATACTACGCAAAATAAATAGCGAAATTTTTGCGACGTATTTTTTTAAATATACACAAGAAAAATATTTCAACATTAAATCATTGATTATTTAGGAATGTTATTTTTTATAAATATATAGTCTTTAAATGTAAAAAATAATAAAGTGCAATGTCATTGATATTCTGTTTAGGGATAATTTCACTCTTATTTTTGTATCGTTTATTTCTTTACTTGCATTTATGTAATATAACAAGAAATATTAAAAATGAGAACGTTAAGGTTTTTCTTTTTTGTTTTTTTAGTCTATACACAACTTGCTGATAAAACGTATATAACTTTTATTCGATTGCGTGAGATAGGTACGAACTTTTAAACGGACGAATTTAATCTGCTAAAGTTTGATGCTACATGGCGTAAAGCTTCTGATGAGCAACCATATATAAAGATGAAAATATCTGTGCCGTTAATCATATGTATTACGAAGTCCGATGCAATGCAATATTTAGCAATATTCATCCTTTGCCTTTAAAGCATCGTTTGACATTCAGTATGGATCTACTTTGTGACATTCACATCAGCAACTCGTCAATCTTATTTATTTCGAGAGATAAAAATATAAGTTCTCGATTAAAAAATATTTTAGCACAGAAATATTTTTAATTATAAAAATCTAGAGATATATGCATAATTTTCATAAAGGAGAAACATTGATAATATATAAAATGTTCTATTTCAATTTACCTCATCTCCAAAGAAAGCTTTTACATTTTTTATTGTAGAATAAAATGTTTTAGACATTAGAAAGTGTTCGATTTGGAAGGGAGAAGAAAATGGAGCTACTGATTTTTTCCTAAAGATTTTCAAGGTTTATAAATAGAATAAAATAGAAAAAAATTATCTGTTTCAATAAAATTAATCGAATCTAATCGTAATAAAAATATAATTTAATTTGTTCTGTGACACATATAAAGCAAAAATTTTACGACGCCAATATAAATAAAATAAAATAGATTTTCAAAGTCACTTGAAGACTATTTATAATTTTTAATAATCTAAAATAAAATTTATTTTCTTGAGAGAAGATGGGAGGAATAAATTAAAATGGAATACCCTGTATAGGAAACGTCAAGAATGTTATTTTACAAATGCTATATATATATTACTATATATTGTATATGTTATTTTACAACAATGCTTACATATACAATGTAGTCCGTATAACTTTTAACAGTTTGATATTTCGGAAATTATGCCATTGATTTTAAAAGTTAAAGTCTTGAATTATATGGATCTGAAAAGCCTTCAAACCAAATGAATATTAATTCTCCAAACTTTGCGATTGTGTGGGTGGAACGGGAATTAACTATGAAATTTTTAATGAGCCGTCCCCCTATACAAAATTACATTCTATGAAAAAAAAACAACTTAATTTTATCCGAAAAATTTTTTTGTCAGATGTGATGCTATCAAATGTTAAGAATACTTTGTTAATTCGGATAAATACATATTTATACATATTTATAAATCTCCTAATACAAATTTATTTTTTAAAATTAAATTAAATAAGTCAGAGTGTAGAGTTGTGATTTTTATTTCGTGTAATTCTCGAAATGTTTCAAGCTATGAGTCGAAACTTTAAATCGTCATATTTTCTCGCAGTCATTTAAAAATATTTATACAAAAAATGTTTTGAATAAACGATAAGTTGTTTCTTTTTCATAGAATCCAAAAATATATAGTTGGAGATTAATATTTATAAATTTAAAGGCTCTACTTTATTGGCTGTACAGATTGAAAAATCCTTTTCCACAACACACATATTTGTTATTATTAGTACTTTAAAACAAATTGTGAACGCTACATATAGTTTTATGTCAAAAAACCCCGAAAAGTTGGAAAAAGATTGATAAAAAATGTGATTTTCAAACTTTTGTTTTTTCCTGATAGCGCTCCCCCGTTTGTTAATATTAATATTTCAATTGTGAAAAAATATTAACATTAACAAACGGGAGAGAGGGACTAAAAGAATTTCCCAATCTGTCAGCCAAAAAAAGATTTATGGTCAAATCCAATTTCACGTTGTTATCGATAAAACAAAGCTTTAGGATCACTTTAAGAATTACCCAGGTAGCAAGCGTATGTCATTTTGACGTCGAATGTCATTAAACGTCATTTTGACGTCTAATGACGTCAGTTTGCTACTTGGGTATGTTGGCCACCCTGTATAATTTGTAGTATACCCAGGTAGCAAACGTACGTCATTTCGTCGAATGACATCATTAGACGTCAAAGCGATGTCATTTTGACATTTAATGACATCAGTTTGCTACTTGGATATGTGGACCACCTTGTATAATTTGTATAGCGTCCAATATTGCATATTGAAAAATTGTAATCACGCGGAGTGTAAAGTAGAATCTTTCCTTTAAAAGTAGTCCAAGTTCGATTCGTTCGATTGCGTTCTCATCAATATCTCATTATAACTATTTTCGCATATTAAACAAAAATATTTGATGAAATTTTATATTAAATTGAAACAGAGCACGACGGATTGCAAAAAGTTAAAAAAGCATTTGGTGATCATATTTTAGCATATGCTTAAATTTTTCGAATTTTTATCAACGCGCGATTATCTTTAACCGTTTCGCGAGCTTCCAAAAACATTTGTTGTCGCCGAAAAACCTGAGCATGTGATAAAACATACTCATTATTTTTCTGACAAACTATGTATATGTAGGTATATATCGTAATTTTTATGTCGATTAAATTAATAATACTTGCGTAAACTGATGAGAAATAAATATTCCAGATAAATTTTCGGACTTACTTGCGAATATCCAAAAACTTTAATAGTTTTGTTATCAGGATCATGTTCAATTCTTCCACCGCCTAAGCAATTTGTCTGCAAACCAGGATGTTTCTTGATTTCCTCGTTAATCTTGTCGAATATATCAGCTGAAACATAAAAAAAATTATTATTATTATTATTTTATTAAAAGTATTATTATAAAATTATAATTATAAGTTTTATATTACACAGTTCAAGTATCTAATTAATATTCTCTCAAGAAATGCTTCCGTAACGGCGAGGAGATGCATTTAGATGAAAAATTTTCTCCAATCAGATATAATTACAACATAATTACGTTATAAAGAAAAGTTCTTACATCAATATGTCGTTATTTCCTATCGAAAAGAAAGATATCTGCCTTGCGTGATTTTTCCCAAGATACCCCCATCGTACTCGTTCATGATCACGTATAAATAGCCGCGAGTCAGATAACGCATCTCAAATACTAATTACAATCTCCCCTATCTCTTCCCTCTCTTGTCCCGAGGATCTTTATACGATCGATATTATCGCATACAGTATATATCTTGGCAAACGACGCACGAATATTCAAACATTCGGGATACAGATCCGCATCGAAGTCCGCACGCGCGTTATGTATCGGAAATCAATCAAACGCTGCAATTGTATACATCCATCCTGTTCGTTCGAAGCGCAAAAAAAAGATGAGAGAAAAGATTTAATATTGATTTGTTTTGTATATTTGCGCCGGGAAAGAGATATGCGTATATCACGCTTTGTGCATCGCATTAACGCGTTAAAGTGTATATTCGAGCGAAACAGCTGGCAAAGGGAGGATTTTTTCAATGGAAAACCGAAATGCATCACGCGAAATGTGCATTTAGCATGAAAAGCTCTCTCGATGATTTTTTGGTCAGTAAAAATTGTAATTTCATTTCCATTTATATCACAGTTTAACAAAAAATTAACTGAATTAGTCTTTTCTTATAGTTTTTGGACGCTGAAACACAAATCCGGTTTCCAAATTGCTCCATCGCGTCACAGTTGTGAAAAAAAGACTATTTTCATGAACTTTTTCATATTGCAGCTACAATATATGTGACGTGTCGGAATATTTTACATAAAAAGTTATAAGGGTAGGATGGCCAAGAAATGAATAGTTTAAGAGAAATTTTAGATTTTAATTTGACATTATCTTATATAAACTATTAAATATCTCACAAAATATTTATATCCGATGATTTTACCTTAATACTTTTATGCAAAATAATGAGAAGAATCAATTAGTTTTTTTAAGTAGCTATCTACATTTTTTCCAAAAATGTCTTATTTTTAAGATAATCGACTGTATCACTTAAAGAGAAACACCCTGTATAATTGATACTAAAAATTTCTTTTGAGGGTTGAAAGTCCTAACAACATACTTTATTTTAGTTACAATAAAACTTTCCCGGCATGTCACATATTGTAGCTACATGACAGTGATAAAATATGACAAAGTTAATAAAAGCCCTTAATTATTGTAACTTTAATAGTAAATTTCTCAAAATTGTGATGTGATGAAGCAATTTAAAAATCGGATTCGTGTTTAGCATCCAAAAAACTGTAAAAAACGACTTGTTTCGTTCCAGTGATTGAAAAAGATCATTTTTTGTTTAACAGTGTATCTACGCTTTTTAGCTTCATTTTCAGCTACGCGGTGGAAAAATGTTGTTTTCTTTTTTTCTCCGTCTCCCTCTCTCTCTCTCTTGATGTGTCTTCCACGGAAACACGAAAGTATTTTCCAAATGTCATTTCTCATTTTAATGTTAAATAACTAAAATAACGCCTGTTAAAAAAATTTAATTCTACTTTATAAGAAGCATCAATAATGCTAAAATATAGATTCGTCAAAAGTGACAAAAGTGTGCAAAATAAGACTTCAGAACTGTTGTGAGTGATCAAAGTAGGAAGTTTGAAAGTTTGACAGGAAATTGCTTTCTAGAAACGATTCGCGAGTTTCGTTTACTGAAAACAATTTCACAGAACTTTGCTCTCAAAGATAGTGATTTAGCATTCATTATTATACTCTTTTTACATGCAAATTATCTAAAGGATCTAACAAAATATATGTATTTCTTATTTTCTTCGTTCCATGAATATTTTCCTTTATTTCCTGGTTACTTTGGTAAACGGAGAATCTCTACTTCTACTCCAATAAGCTTGTTTCGCAACAAGTAACACGAGCACTAAATTGATTATGTTGTCTCAGGAGACATGCGGTATTCCGGATGAAACATTCTGTATAAAATTGTTAAAAAAGAAGTCTATTTCCGTGAAAAAAGCTTTCGATATAAAAACGACTTCTAAGTAAGCAAGATGCATATAAATATAAACACTATACATACATACATACATACATACATATATACATATATATATAATAAGAGAGAGAGAAAGAGGGCATAAAAAATAGTTTTCCTATTTACTATGCATATTGTTTTGGCTTGGAAATCTTTTTTATCGAGAACTTTTTTTATGAAAATAAATTTGACACAAATATAATCAATTCAATACATGCTTGTTGGGAAACAAACCTATTGGAGTAATGGTAAAGATTCTCCATGAGTGTATGTGTGTATGTATAAAAAAATTATTCAAATACCTGTTTCTTTATTGATCTCTATCTCTATAATTATGTATGTGATATATTAATAAAATTTTGTTGCAATCAAAATTAAATTACCAGAATTTTTAACCATCAAAAATTTTTTTATGATGATTAAAGACATTCTTAATTAAATATGGAGTCTATTACAAAAAAATTATAAATTACATCATTAAATCTATCTATCAAATATTTCCCAATATGATCAAAACTTAAGAGTTTTTTTCAGGCCGCTAAAGATGAATCTAATATCAAAATTGACAAATTTGAAAATAGTAAAAAATCAATTAAAAACTCCGATAATATATTAGATTTTGACATATTAATTTCGCCATTTCTATATAGATATATTAAAATTGTATAACAATCTAAAAAAATTAATTTGAAAAAAAACATTTAATTTTGTCAGAATTTCAAACCTAATTCATAATTTACTTTTAATTATTTTCTTGTTATTTAATATAATAAACTTCATTTTATGAGTCAAAAACTTAGCAACATATTTAATATTGATTGCAACACGTATATACATAATTACAATACATTATAAAATATATTAAAATGTCTCTTTTTAATTTAATCACACATTTCTCAATTATAACACAATATAGAACAACATAAAAGCTTAAACGCGTCAGCAAAATAAAAAAATGCAGGAAACAATTATGCTTTTTTTATTTTCCCTTCTTTTTTTTGTTAAATTCTCTGTCAAATATATTAATTAAATTGTTCGAAACGTTTACATAACACATTTGTGTTTTAAATTAATTTAAAAGAAATATTCTAAATAAATCAAAATAAACAATGAAAATAAAATGAATGAATAAATATAATTATAAAATAAATTTATAATAAATTTAAAATAATTTTTTAAAAATTGATTTTTAAAAACTGTATTTATTGGATCTCGTCTAATTATCTAATAAATAATATATCAAAATCATAAATATTTTAGGCTACATTTAATAAATAAGAAATCGCTATCTAAAAGAATATAAATTAAATATTTCTCAAAAATTAAGTCAAAATGAGCAATTTAAGAGCCTAATGTGGTAATTGATAATTATTACACAAATATTTCTTTGTAAAAAATTTCTTTTTAATTAACCCATTTTTAATATTCAATTTTTAATATTCAGAGCAATTCATTATTATGTTTTCTTCATTCTGGCTTTTTCTTTAAAAGTACTTATTGTTAATACGTATATTAATTGTGGAATATATAAATAAAAATAATAGGTAAATATATTATTTTCAAACAACATATTCTTTTACTTTTAAGTATAAAATCGCCATAAATTATTATTGGCAGCTTTTTATAACGTTTGTAGAAACAAAAAAGATAAGAATTGTGTTCGTATCTTTCTTGGAATAAACAGAGAACAAAGAAGTCGACAAAGCTTAAGATAAAATAGATCGGACGTTTTCTGTCCGGGGATTCATGAATTTTTAACCATTGCGGAAAAGCGCGTATCTCTCGTCCTTCCGAGTCTATGTATAGTTCTCTATTAAGAATTCACTCTTCGAGGCATGAGAATCAGGAACAAAAGATAAAAGTAAAGAGATATACGCGTGAAAATTCTGCGGAAACGTGAGTAAAGGCGACATAAAAATAATTAATGGAAATATGATTGAAGATCAAAGTGTGGAAATCAGCACAAATATCTTTCAATGTGGATAGCGGACATTATTCTATGTGATATAAATATATCGCTAAAATTGATTTTTGTAAGTTGTAAGTTGAATTTTGTAAGTAAGTGAAATATATTGTTGATTATTGTATCTAAAAAGGATCTCTAAATAGAGAGATGCCATCACTCAGCGAGAGTCTAAATTATTATATATAAAAACAAATAATTCATTTCTTACATCATTTATTATACATGTACTAAAATAGCCAGTATAATAATATAAATGTAATATATATGCTCTAAATATTTATAATATAATATTATAATTCAAAAATTCTTTTAAATAAATTAATTGAAAATTTATTATAGGAATTTTACATAAAATATTTTTAGTTATTGCATAAGATGGATGAAAAGAAACAAGAAAAACTTAATATATTTCTTTTTCGCTCATGTCATAAAAAATTAAATTTTGTGAAAAAAATGCTATGTATCCTTCATACGGAAGATTGAATGTAAAAGTTTATCCATCCAATTTATATAATCTACTTAAAAAATAAAATATGTATGTAAAATGATATTTAGAAATTATATATGCTTACAATTAGTTAACTTTTTACAGCTTTTGCGCACGTCACTTAAATAAAATTCCGCGCAGAAATATTTTCAGGACAAATCTATTTTTTAGAACATTTGAACAGAGCAAGGACACAAGTTCAATAAAAGTATTATAACTAAATAGATTATATTTTCTTCTAACGTCAAAATCACTTATTAATGTTTGATGTTTGTTTTCATTGGCCATTAGTTGCCGACATTATTGAGAAGTTTATAAACTAAACTATAAGTGACCTGTCAGAAGAGA